CTTCTGTTCATAAATAAATTATACTAATAAAAATATTTAAAAAATTCTGATCTTCGAAAATTAATTTTATGTGTAATACTGTTTTAAATAATTAAATTAAACGAGTGGTTAAATAGATAAATAGTGGTTGGAACCTATCGAAGAATTCCGTGGCGTCATTGGTCGAACCCTGGAAGGCGACTCTGCCTATGGAGAGCAATAGGACTTCGTGGAAGATCTCCAGCAGACCGGAAGCGGGTTGATGCAAGGAGCAAATGACTATTCTTCCACTGGCAGCAACTTCCCTCAGCGTCCTCACCACGGTCATCGCGCCATAGCTGTCCAACCCCGTGGTTGGTTCGTCGCAAAACAGGATGTTCGGTTCAGTAAGTAACTAGAAAAATTCTCTACCCTATGTGTATTTTGCATTAAGAAAATTGCCAGCCAAAATATACGCGAGTCTCGTCATAGAGGTTCTTAAATTTCGAGATTTACAATAGTCTAAATTCTAGGACTCTATTCTGCGACTTTGGAATTTTTGTAAATTTTGTAAAAATTTGGAAAATTTTTCTACATTTTGAGACTTTGGGTCTCTAAGCTTTGGAATTTTGAAAGCTTTAAATTTTGGGACTTTAGATCTCTACAAATTTGGGGTTACTGTTTCAAATTTTCCTAAATTCTAGGACTTTGTGTCTCTAAAGCTTTGGAATTTTGAAATTTTGGGATTTTTGGATTCTACGGCTTTGGGACTATTGTTTCAAATTTTCCTAAATTCTAGGAACTGGGTTTTTAACACTTTTAATTTTTGAGATTTCCAATTTTGGGGATTTTAGGATTCTGAAACATTGGGATTAGGTTATCCGAGTCCTTGGAACTCTAAAATTTTATTGGCTTAAAATTTTTGGGACATTAGAAGACTAAGATTCTCATAGGTTGAAATTCAAAGATTTTAAGATTTTGGGTAATTTCAAAAAATTTGAAAACCTTATGAATTTAAAGACTCAGAATATTGGTCCTTATTAATCGAAGTGCAGAAATTTCTAAAGTTTGAAAAATTACCTAATGTTTAAATTGTACAGTAAAAAGCCCCTAAGCTGGACTAACAATATTTTTATGTGCTATGAATTTACGATGGTTCATCTATTTTTAATGTATATGTAAGCTTCAATAATGCCCAAAAATCACTAGCTATCCTGTCTCGTATCCATGGCTACCAAACTAAACACTATCAGTGCAGGAAATCCCATGAGCAAGTTATACGTGAGGATTGTCTGTCAATATCAATCTATCAATAACTGATTGGCAGTAGATTAGCGTTAATTGCCTAATATTATACAAAGATCAATAATGATCAATATTCGAGAATCGTCAATCCTATATAATAATAATTAATAATCCTATATATAATAATCCTTACATATATATATCAATAGTAAACCTATACTATATCTTCAACAACAAATTATATTTTACACTGAAAGAAACTATAGCTTTTAAATTCTGAAAACACGAATATTCTTAGAATATTAATCTATGTCAAGAAAAAGTATCATTCTAGCTTCTAACGTTTTGGGATACTCCTAAATAATTTCAAATTTAATACAAAAATTCAATGATTTCCAAAAGTACCATTTCCTAGTATTAAAGTAATATTATAACGACTTAAAATTAATAGTAAAAACATCTGCTAATAATTCCAAATTTAATATAAAAATACAATTATTTCCAAAAATACCATTTCCTATTATTAAAAAAATATTATGACGATTTAAAATTAATAGTAAAAACTTTTTCCAATAATAATATAAAAATTCAATGATTTCCTAAAATACCATTTCCTACTATTAAAAGAATATTACTATGATTTGAAATAAATTACAATTTTGAAATAAGGACACTTGCAAATAATTCCAAACAATTTCCAATTTGAAAAGAAAATTCAACGATTTGAAAAATTACCATTTTCTGCTATTAAAATAATAGAATTTCATTGTATTTTTTTCTCTACTGAAAGGAGAATAATTCTGAAAATATTACTTGGACAGCCAAGGCGACACGTTTCCTTTCTCCACCAGACAGGCTGGACAGCTTTGTGTTGGCGCATTTCACTAGACCGAATTCCCCTAGAAGGGCCATTATGCGTTGCCGTCTGACGTTGGCCCCCTGCCTCCTGTCCATTTTCATGCACGCCTTGATCGACCGGGAACAATTGCCAAGTTTTAATGGCCACGAAACCCAATCATTCGACGTTCAAACGAATTAGTCGACGCTGGTGGCCAGATGAGCAGTGATAAAGCGTTATGAACGAAAGTTGGAAACGAGATTCGCGCTTAGTTTTGCATAACGAAACGTGAAATGAGCTTTCAAAGACGAATTCTTTGAAGGGAGCATCCGAGATTGAATTTTCAAAGTGGTGGGAATGCGATTTTCTAAATACGAATTTGTGATTTTCTAAATTCGAATTTGAGATCTTCTAAATACGAATATAAGATTTTCCCATAAAAGTTTTGGAAACTTTCGTTCTTCATTGAACCAAAATTTTCCAATATTTCGAAAAAATATTTTCTCTTTCTAATTAATATAATATGAATTATTATACTTTAACCTACCTATTTTATTTTTTAGTATTTTTTGGAAAAATTGGAAATAATTTTCTGCCAACTTTTAAAAGTAAAATAACCCTAAATATAAATACCTATAGTCGATGCATATAAATATACCATAATGAATTTTTATGGTCCTCGTGAATACAAAAATTGCAAATTTATTTTTCTATTACCACAATAAAAACAATATAAAATCTTCTTCCAATAATTATTTAATAATAATAATACCAATTCTAATTACTCATCCAGCTAACCAAAACAAGAAAAATTCACTAAATTCTAGAAAAACGTCAAAAACTCGTAAACCGTGAAAATTATAATTATAATAATCGCAAAAATGACGGTAGGTAAATTAGAAAAATGTAAAAAATCGTGAAATTCATGGAGATCAGGGAAAGTCACGTTTGAAATTTTGTCGGACGAGTGTGCGACATTTAAATGAACATATCTCGTACAAAAGAGTTTCTGCTTCATTATATCCAATTGGATTTCAGACTAGATCTGTCACAGTCACGCAACTTTATCCCATTATACGAGTCCGATTATCTCCGTGATATCGCTCGCTTTATCGATCTCGACTACAAGCTCACCGACTCGATCGCGAATAAATGGCAATTATTTAAAAAAAAAAAAAAAAAAAAAAAAAAAAAGAAAGAACGCTAGCTGCCAATCGACAGGAGTTTATCGAGCGATTATTCGACTCGCTGCACCGTGAACTGTCCCATAAACGTCTACCAGCTGGTTATCCACGATTCGATCGTGTTTTTCGAGATCAATCGCTATCATTCATTGGAACGAGAGAGATTAATCAAGAACGATTTATGGTGTCCATCGATGATGGAATATATCAAAGGAACGCTTTCAGCGTCACTATTATACATAGTTATGCCACACGATATTTCTTTCTTTCCCCAAAAATGCGAATTTTTGGCAAATAGAATCAAAATGATTTGAAAAAAAATTTTAAAAAGCGAGAATGTGGTAGATGGACTAGTTTTTCATTAATAAATAATGTTTATCGAAAAATAAACCCACCATTTATCGATAGCTGGATAATTGATTAATTATGAAAGATTCTTAATATATTTCTTGAAATTTATAGATTTTATTACTTCTCTCGAAATTCGTAGAGTTCAAGGAATTCCGTTTTTGATTAATAAATAATTTTTATTGAAAAATAAACCCACCATTTATCGATAGCTGGGTAATTGATTAATTATGAAATTTTCTTAATATTTTCCTTGAAATTTATTTAATCGATTTTATTATTTCCCTGCAACTTTATAGAGTTGAAAGAATTCCGTATCTTTGAAAAATATGAATTACCAATGTGCATTAATGTCATTCTAAATTATGTTATCCACAGATGCAATTTATTCGTTATATGAGTCGTTCACTGTACAAATCGATTAACTCTACTTTTTGAAAAATCTTAAATTTAAGTGTCAAAGCACTTGGTATAGTTATAACTACATTATTTCATTTCATTTCTCCACTTTTTGTTTTATGGAGTTAATCAATTTATGCAGTGAACAGATCATATGTGTATGGGATGTGGACGTATTTTCATTTTCTGTTGAATTTTATAGCGAAAGTAGTTCTATATGCCTGTATTAAAATTAAAAAGTTGCTTAAAGTATTAGGAACACGCGATTGAAGCAAAAGTAAGTCAAGGGGCCATAGCAGTTAATTAGAGCATTGTAATTGGACGAACCATGAATTCCATGTGCTCCTGGACTGTCAGCGATTCGATTGCCAGGTCTGTTTGTGGAACGAATCCAGATATCCTTATCATCTGCCCAGTATCGATAGGCTTCCCGTTTAACAGGACGTCACCTGTCGCTGCACCTATCGATTAAAAATGCACTGGTCAACGATTACCTTCGTTCGATTGCGAAATAGTAAAAATGGCAGCAAATGGCACAGATTAAAAAAAATGGTAAAAATGGCCAAAATTATAAAAATATTCAAAATGGTAAAAATGGCCACAATGATAAAAATATTAATAATAGCAAAAATGGCCAAAATTATAAAAATATTCAAAATGGTAAAAATGGCCAAAATTATAAAAATATCCATAATGATGAAAATGGTAAAAATGCAAGGAATATTTTATTTGCTCCTTTATGAAATAAATTTTAAATTATTTGGGAATTTGTAAACTTAAAATTCCTGAAGAAAAGTGGCAAGATTTTCCTTGAATAATGACGTCAACATGCTTGGATCTTATCAACGTAAATTAGTCATTATATACCAACGTAAAAGATCTGGCATGTTTCTCAAATGATGGTAAAAACCGAATTATGCAAATTTCAAATAAATCCTATTTGTCGAGATAAAGAATCGGATTATGCAGATTTATGGTAAGTCCTATTTGTCAAGACAGTTGATTGATTCTACACATGATACTCGAAGTCGATGAAAACACAGAAACCTGTCTTGACATCTGTTTATATAATTGATTGAAATAAATGTAAAACGTGAATCGATAAATATCTAACTAAAGGAAAAACAAACAATTATTTCTGCAATTTTAAAAATAAATCTGCTTCGCTGTTTAAATAGCAAAATACAGGGGTTTTCTACGAAGAAATTCGTGGGAAGAATAGCAGAAAAATATTTATAAAATCGTTGCTCCAATTTCTTACTTTCACCATGGAATATTTTTAGGTTCCTAAATAAATTCATTCGCGAAACAGAAGTGGAATAAAAGAACCGTGACACTGGCACGGTAAATAATTAAACAAAATGAAAATTCCTCCAGTTTCAGGAATAAATTTATCTCGCTTTTTTAATTTTATTCGCAAATAGTAACCTGAATATATCTTTCTCCAAGTACAAAATATACTTAAACCTTTTCAAAAACGAAGCAATAATTTTTCGATGTCAAAAAATAAATCATTCCCATTTACCTAGCTGCACCCACGAAACTCACTCTCACGAATTTCTTTGCGAATGAATTTCACGTTCCTCTACGAATTTCTTTGCGAAATTAAGAAAGAAAGAAAGAAAAAGAAATTCACAAATTTTCCACGAAGGGATTTAAACGAAATAAATAATCTCTGCAGCTTTAGAAACAAATTTAATCCATCCTTCCAATTTCACATTGACAATTCTCAATATTATATCGACACCAAAAATTATTTTAAAAAAAAGAAGAAAATTAATAAATTAATAAATTTCAAAAACAAACATTTCTTAATATTCCTAAATCTTAATATCCCTTAAACCTGCTCAACCCTTCGACACTTCCATATTCCACCAGGGTATAAAAATACAAAATCCGGAAGGAAGGAAATTTATGAATCCAAAATTCCCAAAATTTTGGAAACGCAATTTTATCGCGAATAAAATAGAGGTACAGTGAACAACAAAATTAAATACTCTTCCAATGCACGATTTTCCAGAATTAAATCGTAGCTACAACCATACTTCGATTTTCCATCGGTGTAGGGTTTTTAATATAGGGTGTGACATGAAAGATGAAAGGAAGAAAACTTGTGAACCTTTCACACGGCGGCTGATGGTCGCGAGCAACGATGTTTTCCCAGCGCCACTGCAAAGCAAGAAGTTGTTTTTAGTGAAGAAAAACCACCCCCGTCCCGCCATGTTGGAAACAATTAACCCCGGAATACTAAGCAGTAGTAATTCTCGCGAGTAACATGGGATTTTATTTTCGCTTACCCAGCCCGGTGCAGACTGTATTATTAAACGCATCAGCGGACTGTTACCCGAGATAGGGGATGAAAACGGCAGGGATGAAGGGTGAAATCTTAATCCGCGTACGTTAAACGGAACAACTACGGGATTGTGTGTATCTTACGTGCAAAAATACTGTTAACAATGCAATTGAAGTTTCAACCGTAAGACTGTTTTATCGGTGCACGTTGGGAGGGTGGTAAGAATATTTTTACTGCGTTGCAGGGTTTATGGGTTTGTCGTATTATCGTACAGGGTGAGTCGAGTAGTTCTGAAGTAGTGGAGAGCAGAGAAAAATATTTTACCTAATTTTAGACGATATTTTGTTTCACGAAAGTGACTGTTTCATTTATTACAATTAACGTGATTTCGAGTGGGCATGGATTTCGAGAGAAATTATACTCGTGTTAATGTTCAATTAGGGTAATATTCTTTTAAATACTCGCGTTTATGTCATTTTGTTTCTTTCCACATGTACGTTTAATATTTTATTTTGTTTTATTTGTTTTGTTTGAAGAAATAGGCGTAGTCTGTACCCTGTTTTCGAGACACCCTGTATGTCTACGACATTTTTCAAATATTCCATATTTTTCTTTGGATTGGAGTTGAATTGAAATGGGCACTGGATAATTGTCGAAATTTGCAATTTACGATTCGAAGTTAGTATTCCGGGGTCAGAGAGAAGTTCAAGATGTTTACCTTGGTCCCATGATCGCCATCAACATTCCGGAAGTAATTATACCACTAACTGGAAATGAACCAAAATATTAATTAAAGCCTGCCTGAATTTATCAATATTAATTCTCAACTATGAGAAATCTTATTATCTTGTTATTTTTTAAAATATTTTAAGTTGATCGCATTCTCCTTAATCTCTTAGCATGGAATATACCTCCATTGAGCAGATGAATATATTCGGTGTGCTGCAGACCGAAAATCGCTCGAAGACTGCCGCCATTAGTCTTTCTCTCGACAATATAGGAAATGTTCTTCCAAGTCAGGCACAAATCTCTTGATATGTTTGGTGGCAGGGTTGGATAATTCACGGTGTGTGTCATCTGAAAATGTTTGTTGCAATTTAAATCCTCCTGTTTTTTAAATAAAATAATAATAATATAATATATTATTTATAATATTATTTTATTTATAAATAATAAAATAATAAATCTTTCCTTTTCTCTTATTTTTGTTAAGCATTGAATATTGAAATTTTAATTTAGACACTTCTATAATATATATATCCCAAAATTCATGCAAGGTTTGAATTTAGTGCCATTTGTGCGGTGAAAAGTTGCCAACGAAAAAGAAAAAGAAAACGCTAGACAAAAGAACAACGCGTCTTTATTGTTAAGCAATATTTCCAATTATTAATTAAAAACCTGTGTTTTCTATCAGAATTACTTCTTCCCTGAATTTTGGGGCACCCGTTACATTCCGAACTTCTCTATATCACTGCCCCTTTTTACATTAAAAATAGAAATTCACCGAATCAAAAATTGTAGCTCGTGCACTGGGGAAATCAAATTGCAGGTTTTTATAAAAATAAAAGGAAGTTTCTCTGTTGATATAATTCATTTCAATGGATTTACAAATACTCTGCTAATATACACACGTACATCTAAATAAATAATTTAAAACTACCCTAAAAATTAATGTATAATATTTTCCTTTCAAAAAATAAGTAACAAAAATTTATTAAAAATTTTGCACTACTTCGTGTACGTAATTTTACTGACTTTGGACTTCAGAAAATGGTCATTATCGACGAATTCTAAATCGTCATTCGCGATTGTTTGAAATCATCGTCAATATCGAGAATTGCGAATCGCGAAGGATGGAAGAGAAAGGAAATATAAATAGATTTATAGCGTAACGAGCTTGTAATTATTCAAGAATTCTCGTTACAATGCTCGATAAGGCCCTTCCACAAACACAAAGCCATTATCGTGTCTGTAGGTCAGGTTCGATTACATAAAGCACAGGTCTGGCTTGTGTGTCGCCATACTGATCTAAGCGGTGTAATGATGCTGTTTATATAAATTACCATTTAACTGATCTTATATCAACCTATTCTCATCGATTAATTGAGCCAATTAACATTCCCGAGCCACGTTATGGAGATATTAAATGAATTATGAAACCGGATAAAATTTTCGAAGAAATTGAAGCCTCGAGATTTAGGTTAGGTTTAATATCTCACTTTTAAAAAGTGATTTTTCCTTGAAATTATAATTTGCATTTGGGATTCTATTTGTAGGTTATGTATTAGATTCTATATGCGCAATTAATAATTAGATAAAAGTTTCTCTTATTATCTGAATAAAAATAATTTTCTTTGTCTAGGGGAAAAGAAGACTGCTGACCTCTGTCGATCGGAAGTGTGAACTAAGACGAGAAATTGCGCGGGATATTTGAACACGAATACCTGCGTAAAAAGAATTGTACACTATACTAAAAATTGTTCGAAATTTTGATTACGCAAATAATAAAAATTACCAGAATTTCGATCAATTAAATTTATCTTCTCTGAGATATTTGTATCCAGCAAAATATAACGAAATACATCTTTCTCTGATCAGACACAATTACAAAAATTATTATACCTATACTAACAATATTCTAGACTAAATTGCAATTCGAATTCCACTTCAATTACACAAGTAATCGAGATTAATAAGATTCTAAAAATACCCAAAATTCTAAAACAATTATATCGATAGAATATAATCTTTGATCTACAGATTTCTCGAATTCCACGAAAATAATTTAAAAAATCGAAATTAAAAAACTATTTTTAACCGAAAGAGTGCAATAAAATAATTCCAACTATAGAAGAACGTATCTGCTTCTGGAATCTGATTTAGTTTCACGTTCAAGTTTCCATCGAGCAACTAGTAAAGTGTTGCCAACGAAAATAAAAGACAGCGTGACAGGTGACAGTTCGGGATTATTAAAAATCTAGCGCTACACGGAGAAACAACGCGTTGTTGAAAAATATTTACAATTTTTAATTAAAAACTTGTATTTTCTATCAAAATTACTTGCATGAATTTTCGGACACGTAACACGGGAGAAAATTCATCAAAATGTCGATTTCTACAACGTATTTAAAAATCATCGAAATCAGCGAGACTCCTTCACTTCTCTGAATAAATACAAAATGATTTTGGTATTTTGGTAATTATTAATATTAATTCGGTAATTATGGATCCAAGAAAACTGTTTCGTAACAAATTTTACCAAACGATCATCGTGTGAGACTCACCCAAGTACACTAAACCGCAAACTTTCAGTGGAAAAAGGGAAAAATCAACGATTCGCTTTCGTATCGGAAGTTTCTTCGGCAGTATCATCTATTTGTAGTCACGAAGATCACTTTACACGTAACGCGTTACACGTAGATCTCGAATTGATCCGTATTTATAATACAAGGGGCATGATATCCTCATATCATGATTATTCGATTTCATAGTGGATATAAAAATTGCGAAAGCTGAGAAATAATTACGGTAATTAGTAATAGTAATTCGTTTAATGAGCATACTGAGACCGCAGGTGTGAAACACTAGCAGTCGTGTTCTCCGATTTTTGCGGGAGGGCTGTATTAAAGATCGATTCGCGGGCAACCGGTCTTGTATCACTAAAACTCTTGGGTATTATTCGGTTTAGAGACTAAACGTGTATTTCTGCTATACTCTCGTGCATTCCTAAAATATTTAATTAAAAAGTAAAATATATTCGACAATATTCGTCAAAGATGCTACAGATCGATTTCTTCTGAGAAAATAACAGAGATAGACATAAATATACAATAACAATACCAATGCAAGGTAATAAATCAATTTAGATTTATTATTTGTTCAATATTGTTATTATTGTTATTATTCATGTAATACATTATTTGCTATATGTCATCTCTTAGTCACCAATTCATAAAAGAATCAAGAAATCTATGAGAATGGATTTATCGAAATATATATGTCCATGATCTTTGACAAATTTTTACACAATAAATATTTCTCCATTAACACTAGAACTACTAACCCAGTCAAAGTGACTGGTCCCAGAATTTTCCTTTTTGCAATCATCGAATACGTGCACCTGCTTTAAGAATAAAATTGGTATCAACTCATATTAAGAAACAATTGTAATCAATATACTCACTCATATTCATCGTATCGCTGAAATTACTATAATCTGTACATGTTATAGTTAGGTACCCATTAAAGATTGGTAGTTCTAGTGTTAATAAGAGTAACAAATAATTAATTATAAAATAAAATAAAAATTGGTACCTCTTCCACGCTTCGCGTTTAACACGTTAAGTGCCTAGCCTATTTTGCTTGCCGTTCCATTTAGGCCCAGACTCGGCCCTCAAGTGGGCCACCAGTGACGGGCAAAGTGTTCATAAAATTCGAAGATACTGTACCAATTGTTATAACAGGAATTTTCAAAGGTTAGGTCCAAAGATGGAGGAGAATTTAGTACCAAAAATTAGCAAATTTTAGTCCTAGTTTGGGCCGGTCTCTGAGGACCAACCGGGCCCGAAGGGAAAGTCTAGCACCGGTCCCTGGGGCCTGACATGTCACTTAACGCGTTAACGAAACATTCTTCCGCGATCATCATCAACGATCGAATAGTCATCTAACTATCCAAGGGAGACCTTATTTACTCTAACTTCCGTACTTACTCTAACCGTATCATAGAAGATCATCCCGCTGAATCACTATAATACACGGATCCACAGGCTTCCATCGATCCACTCACCAATAACGTCCCACCCACGAACGAGTCACTACACTCGTACACTTAGAATAACGAAAGATGATCTAGAAACAAGACCTGTCACTGTTCCGATAATGCCCAATTTTCGTTAAAACACTCCGAGGACGCACCGGAAAACACGCAACAGCTATTGCGTCTCCACGCGACGCATCTTCACGAGGAAGAAGCAAGAGAGTCGAATAATGCACTAATAAAATTGTTGGAAAAGTAAAAATCGTTTGTCAGTCAGGTACAGGTAAGACACTACTCGAGACTCACTGACAGGCTCATAGTCTTCCCGGTTGGACAATAAACCGAGTTAGAATCGCGTGTTGCTTCTGGTTACGACGTTCCGGCTGACTGAAGGGAATCTGAACGGAAACGAGGCTGGCTTGATTGTGGTAACCGACAGGGAACGTTGATCACGACAATACGACACCATCGTGAGTGGTTTTGTGGAGGAAGAGGCAACTGTGTGTATTATATGCAATGGCAGGCTGTTACACAACGAGACCACGACGCGACGAACTCACCAGTGGAGACAGTGAAAGGATTACTCGGTGAGAAGGCGCTTTAACGCATTCCACTGCGGATTGGAGGATGTTCTTGGCTTTAAAGCAGCTTTTGATGGAGAGAAGAGGATGGTTAATGGTTCTTCCTTGTTCGCGAGCTTTTATACGAATACGTTCCGCGAATGTTAACACGGGATAGGGGATTATGTCTCTAATAAAAATTAGCTATGCTAATAGTCACCGGTGAAGTATAATATTCCAAACAAATTGATATTAATAACGAATAAGCTAAGACACCATTGTTGAAAAGAAAACAAAATTATTAACAAATTAGCCAGATCGAATTGCAAATTACGAAGTAACAATTAGCTTGCTAATCTTTTTTGAAAAATTTCGACCTGAAACACATATATCCAATCGTTATTTTTTTAATAAAAAAGCAATTCATTTTATTTATAAATATACTCACACTTTAAATGGTTTTCTATATATTTTACCACGTTCTCCTGTACCTGTGGGATCACCCACCTTGTGTTATGAATCCTTTGATAATTCTATGAAGTATGGTGTCATCCTAATAACCTACCATACATAACTGTATGAAATTTCTACATGTCTTTGGAGTTTCTTTTGCCCACAATTCTAACTCAATATCACCAACAGTTGTTTTCATTATAACCTAGCTATAAAAAATATATCAGTTTTATTAATGTAACATACTTTTGAAATCAAATTTATTGAAATTCATTATTTATTATTGTAATTCAAATTAGAAATTATTTAATATATTAATATAGAAATTTAGAAAGTAAATATTGTGTATCAGATAAATGTTTAAAAACAGATATACAATCAATTGAAATATTATTAACTAGTACTCATTACTTTACCCTCAGTGGCTGGCCCTTGCATATAAATATCACTCATGCTTCTAATTCTCTTACAATAAAAAAATTCCTCTGTCAATAATATTACATATTAAATCTTTAGTCATTTATAAATCAGTCAACCAAATGGTTTTTTTCTTAAATAATAATCATTAGCAGGTAAGACGTACCTACTTCTTCCTTTTAATGTTGGCTTTATTGGCCCAATAAATCTATGTGCCACAGCCCCATTATTCCGGCTGCTTTTACAGTTTCCAAGTTCCTATAGATGTTTTTACAAATTTTTGCCTGAATGCAACATTTACAATCTATATTAAATTTATGCTTACCTTTTATAACTATTAACAATTTGTCATTTTTCATCTCTTTAATCATCCTCATATTTGCATGTCCATGCCACACATCCTTCCTTGTTAATATATATGCTGCCCCCTCTCCTGTTTCTTGATTTGACATAATATGCCGTTCCCCTCCTTAGTGCTATCGTTCCAACCACTCCCTTTTCATTATCTACCTTAGCACCATAATTCTGAAACATAACACATTAGCGACGATCATTAACTTTGACCACAGATATTAATATTTATTTAGATCAGGAATAGAACATACCTCTCAATCTTAGTGTATCTTCTATACTTAGTTGATATAAAAGGCCACCATCTAAATTAATTTCATCCCTCTTAGTCTGCCAAAGCCATCGCCATTTTCTGAATCTTCATATCACCATCAAAGATTTCTATCTAGTATGGTATGTCGTTAGCTGACCTAAAATACAATACATACATCATTACATACTTGTACAGCTGCATCAATTTTGACACGCTATGCTATACAATTCTTGGCACTTAATGACTCTAAACTGAAGATATTCCGAGACTACAATATTTTTCTACTGTTGCACGTGACTGTTTCTTTCAACAGAATATTCCCTTGAAGCTACTCTAAGATATTATACCCAACAAATGCATTCCAAAAACCTAATTTCGAAAATAGAAGCCAAACAAGCATATTACGCAACACGATTTGACGACCATGGACACATTCTCCATTATTTTATGAAAACGCAAGTACGAAACCAAAAAAAGTAATCAAGCCCGTTAAAGAAATATCTACTCTACACTGCTAGGCGAAAAAATCCGAATTCAAACGCCTAATTACGAAGATATAATGCAAAAAAGGCAATTGCGCAGCACGATCTGAAAGCCACTGACACATTCGGCACTATTTCTGGAAAACGCACGCACGAAACCGAAAAAAAGTAATCAATCCCGTTAGAGAAAATTCTACTCTACACTGTTGGACGAAACAATCCGAATTCAAACGCCTAATTACGAAGATATAATGCAAAAAAGGCAATTGCGCAGCACGATCTGAAAGCCACTGACACATTCGGCACTATTTCTGGAAAACGCACGCACGAAACCGAAAAAAAGTAATCAATCCCGTTAGAGAAAATTCTACTCTACACTGTTGGACGAAACAATCCGAATTCAAACGCCTAATTACGAAGATATAATGCAAAAAAGGCAATTGCGCAGCACGATCTGAAAGCCACTGACACATTCGGCACTATTTCTGGAAAACGCACGCACGAAACCGAAAAAAAGTAATCAATCCCGTTAGAGAAAATTCTACTCTACACTGTTGGACGAAACAATCCGAATTCAAACGCCTAATTACGAAGATATAATGCAAAAAAGGCAATTGCGCAGCACGATCTGAAAGCCACTGACACATTCGGCACTATTTCTGGAAAACGCACGCACGAAACCGAAAAAAAGTAATCAATCCCGTTAGAGAAAATTCTACTCTACACTGTTGGACGAAACAATCCGAATTCAAACGCCTAATTACGAAGATATAATGCAAAAAAGGCAATTGCGCAGCACGATCTGAAAGCCACTGACACATTCGGCACTATTTCTGGAAAACGCACGCACGAAACCGAAAAAAAGTAATCAATCCCGTTAGAGAAAATTCTACTCTACACTGTTGGACGAAACAATCCGAATTCAAACGCCTAATTACGAAGATATAATGCAAAAAAGGCAATTGCGCAGCACGATCTGAAAGCCACTGACACATTCGGCACTATTTCTGGAAAACGCACGCACGAAACCGAAAAAAAGTAATCAATCCCGTTAGAGAAAATTCTACTCTACACTGTTGGACGAAACAATCCGAATTCAAACGCCTAATTACGAAGATATAATGCAAAAAAGGCAATTGCGCAGCACGATCTGAAAGCCACTGACACATTCGGCACTATTTCTGGAAAACGCACGCACGAAACCGAAAAAAAGTAATCAATCCCGTTAGAGAAAATTCTACTCTACACTGTTGGACGAAACAATCCGAATTCAAACGCCTAATTACGAAGATATAATGCAAAAAAGGCAATTGCGCAGCACGATCTGAAAGCCACTGACACATTCGGCACTATTTCTGGAAAACGCACGCACGAAACCGAAAAAAAGTAATCAATCCCGTTAGAGAAAATTCTACTCTACACTGTTGGACGAAACAATCCGAATTCAAACGCCTAATTACGAAGATATAATGCAAAAAAGGCAATTGCGCAGCACGATCTGAAAGCCACTGACACATTCGGCACTATTTCTGGAAAACGCACGCACGAAACCGAAAAAAAGTAATCAATCCCGTTAGAGAAAATTCTACTCTACACTGTTGGACGAAAAAATCCGAATTCAAACGCCTAATTACGAAGATATAATGCAAAAGAGTCAATTGCGCAGAACGATCTGAGAGCCAATGACACATTCGGCACTATTTCTGGAAAACACACGCACCAACCCAAAAAAAAGTATTCAATCCCGTTAGAGAAAATTCTAATCTACACTGTTAGATGAAAAAATCTGAATCCAAAAGCCTAATTACGAAGATATAATGCAAAAAAGTCAATTGCGCAGCACGATCTGAGAGCCACTGACACATTCGGCACTATTTCTGGAAAACGCACGCACGAACCCAAAAAAAAGTAATCAATCCCGTTAGAGAAAATTCTAATCTACACTGTTAGATGAAAAAATCGGAATCCACAAGCCTAATTACGAAGATATAATCCAAAAAAGTCAAATGCGCAGCACGATCTGAGAGCCACTGACACATTCGGCACTATTTCTGGAAAACACACGCACGAACCCAAAAAAAAGTAATCAATCCCGTTAGAGAAAATTCTAATCTACACTGTTAGATGAAAAAATCTGAATTCAAAAGCCTAATTACGAAGATATATTCCAAAAAAGTCAATTGCGCAGCACGATTTCGGAGCCACTGGCACATTCGGCACTATTTTTGGAAAACGCACACACGAAACCGAAAAAAAGTAATCAATCCCGTTAAAGAAATTTCTACTCTACACTGTTAGATGAAAAAATCTGAATTCAAAAGCCTAATTACGAAGATATATTCCAAAAAAGTCAATTGCGCAGCACGATTTCAGAGCCACTGGCACATTCGGCACTATTTTTGGAAAACGCACACACGAAACCGAAAAAAAGTAATCAATCCCGCTAGAGAAAATTCTACTCTACACTGTTGGACGAAAAAATCCGAATTCAAACGCCTAATTACGAAGATATAATGCAAAAAAGTCAATTGCGCAGAACGATCTGAGAGCCACTGACACATTCGGCACTATTTCTGGAAAACACACGCACCAACCCAAAAAAAAGTATTCAATCCCGTTAGAGAAAATTCTAATCTACACTGTTAGATGAAAAAATCTGAATCCAAAAGCCTAATTACGAAGATATAATGCAAAAAAGTCAATTGCGCAGCACGATCTGGGAGCCACTGACACATTCGGCACTATTTCTGGAAAACGCACGCACGAACCCAAAAAAAAGTAATCAATCCCGATAGAGAAAATTCTAATCTACACTGTTAGATGAAAAAATCGGAATTCAAAAGCCTAATTACGAAGATATAATCCAAAAAAGTCAATTGAACAGCCCGATTTCAGAGCCACTGGCACATTCGGCACTATTTTTGGAAAACGCACACACGAAACCGAGAAAAAGTAATCAATCCCGTTAAAGAAATTTCTACTCTACACTGTTAGATGAAAAAATCTGAATTCAAAAGCCTAATTATGAAGATAT